CGAGTGGGGCTTTGGAGGGATGCGCTGGCCGGGAGTTGAGGCTTTGGCAGCTCCTGCTGGACATTCCCCGATGGAGCAAACCAGGATGGGAGGGTCCTGCAGGGAAAAGCCTCTCCCTGGCCCGGGAGCCTCTGCCTGCTGCTTCCAGAGCCATCCCAGCCTCCCTCCCCTCCCCGGGATCGTTTCCCACTTGTTCCTGTCATGAACAAAACAGCCTGGCTGGGACACTCGAGCTGAGTACTGACATTGAAATATTAATTAGCTAATTGCTCCTAGGAATCACCTACAGCCCCGCCCTCACTACCATTCTAGGGCTGGGATGCAAAATAGGGAGGCCAGTGGAATCATGGGAGGGGGTTTTGGGGTGAAAACACACCAAAATGGAAAAGCTGGGCACAGTGGAGGGGGCTGGATGGGTGAGCTGGTTGGGGAAAAGGGAACCACGTCCCTGCTCTGGGTCTGACCTGTCACCATGACCTGCAGGGGACAGGGCTGGGCTGTGGGAAGCGGGAACAAAGGGAAATGTTATTCCCGGTGTTCCAGGAGGGGAGCAGAGGGATGGCTGCTGCTGGACTTCAGCTACAGCCTTTTTTTTTGTTAATTTTTGTTTTGTTGGGGGGGTTAGTGGTTTATTTCTGAGGTGTTTTGAGTTTTGTTTTGGTTTTAGGTTGTTTTTTGGGGGGTGTTGCGGGGATTTTTTTTTTTTTTTGTTGTTTTTTGTTGGTTTTTGTATGGTTGGGTTTTGGTTTTGTTTTATTTATTTATTTTGGTTTGTTTTTTTGTTTGTTTGTTGCTTTTTTGTTTTGTTTTGTTTTGGGGTTTTGTTGGGTTTTTTTCGTTTTTTGTTATTTATTTATTCAGTTAGTTTTGGTTTGGTTTTTGTTGGGTTTTTTTTGTTTGTTTTTGTTGCTTTTTTGTTTTGTTTTGGGTTTTTGGCTTTGTGTTGGTTGGGGTTTTTTGTGTTTTTTTTTTTTTTTTTGGTTTTTTTTTGTTTTTTTTTTTTTTTTTTTTTTTTTGCTCCCTGCATCCCCCCCATCCTCACCGTGGCAGTGTCGCCTCGGGAGCGCAGCAGCTGCGATCCCTCGATCGCTCCCAGCTGCCGCCTCGTCCCGGAGGATAAAAACCCTGGAAAATCGGGAATTGTGCCCTGGAGGGGCTCCAGGGGCTGCCGGCACCTCCTCCTGCCAGGGGCAGGGGAAACGAGGGGAAGGAAAGCAAAAAAAAAAAAAAGCAAAAAAAATGCAAAAAATGCAAAAAGCAAAAAAGGCAAAAAAAGCAAAAAGCAA